TCCATTATGTGTTTCAGCTGTCCGGACTTAAAAGCACCATCTCAAGGTTTTCATATTTGAAGACAAAAGTAAGAGCAGTGTAGAATAAATCAGTATATTGCCCTGTATTTTTGTGTCTGCCAGCTGAAAAAAATACACTGATTCCTCTATGAGGACAAAACTTAAAATTTAAACTTGCGGATTAGCTGTAATCCTTTGGCTTGTTATACATTTATGATTTCTCCTGTAGAACAAATATAATAAAACATTTTCTAAGTATGATCTCTGGGTTCTAACTGCCTCACACTGCAATTTTGTTTTGTTTGCTTGCTTAGTCTGTATGGTGAAGTATTATTTATTTATTTGAAACGTTTGCATGCCACCCAATTGTGCCACAGCACTTCCAGGTGGCTCATAACCACAAGATAAAAACACAATAAAAATATAATGAAAACCAATAACACATTAAAAATCAGCAACAAAATACAAGCAAAAAATACAAAACAAAGGTCTTATGGCATCATTAGCATTAGTAATACTAATTAGTAATCAGAATTTCTGGTTTCTGCACATAGCTCTCTCCTGCTGGATTAAAGCAAGGCTCTGCAGAAATATTCACCCCTCCTTTGATTTTTCTGCATTTTGTTGTAAGGCAACCTGAAATTGTAATGGGGCTCATTGGCATTGTTATCTGATGTACACAAGACACCAGTGCGAAATATTTTTACCATGGCACAGTAAGTAAACAAAAACAAACTGGCGCTGGTCAGTTGCTCAAGTATTCAACCCCTTTGCTATGATATGCCTAAACAAGCTGTGGTCAATCACTGTCTGTAGAAATCAGTGTGAGTAGAGGCATGCAATCCATCTGTGTGCCACCCCAGTGCCACATGATCCCGGATTAAATATACCTGCATCTGGAAGACTCCAACGATAATTGGAGAGCTCATTTGAACAAACAGCATCATGAAGAGCAAGGAGCTATCAAAACAACTCTGGGTTTCATCAGGGCCCCCTTGGCTGAGAGTGGCTTATGGGCAACTTATTCATCTCGTTCACTTATGTATGTTGACATTTACTTTCAGATTTATAGTTCACTGTGCAACTGAAGTTGTCAACTGGATTTTGTTTGGATATTTTATTTCCTAAAGAGATTCTGAGAGACAGTGAGCCTATTTGAGGAGATACACTGTGAGAGAAAGGTGGCTGTTTCATTTCGCATCTGGAGAGATTTGCTGTTGGGAGTGAAAACTAGTGACCTCAGTAAAACTGATGCAAACCAGAATTTGTGGCTATAACATAACTGCAAGCTATGCATAATGTAGTTTTTCTTCCATAATGCAGTCTCACCAGTATAAAAATGTGTAGTGACTGTACCAATAATGTTTTAAATTAGATGGCCAGGAGTAGAACATATTTTCAGGGCTTTGAGACAATTGAACACAAAGTATACATGGAGCCCTTTCAACAAGATTGAAATCCTGTCGTTTAGCAAGAAGCCCAAGTAGTGTGTGTGGAGGGGAACCAGTGGATCAAATGGTTCTTTCTGCACAGGCGAGGCTGCTGGATTGCAGACAGGAACTGCATGCTCATACATGTTTGCCTACATGGCTGCTCAAACAGCAGGACTCTGCTTCTCTCCCCCCACAGCAACATTGTGGGAGTCGTGTGGAATAACTAAGCCAGCGTGGTTGAAATGGCTAGTGCATTAATTAACTGTGTTGGTTTTCCAATTTCACACTGCCTGCAGCTCAGTAATAGAAAGAAAGCAGAATGAAAGGAAAGTGAGAAATTTTAACATAAATTATGAATGGAAATAGTTCTTTGAGTTTCCCAGCTCCAAGTCTTTATTTATCCATCAATATGGGGAGGCTGCTTATATGATTTCCTGCAAATATCATCAAATGCAGTTTAGCTGCTCCAAAAAAACCTTGGCAACATTAGTGTGGATCGATTCATATTAGCGGGCCTAATAGGCTAATTAATGCTTGAATTGCTGTGGTGCATACTTGTCTCGTGCAATTGCTATTTCAAATATCCATCCTCCAATCAGCCTGACTGGAGGTTGCTCTGTGATATCAGAATAGGAAAATGGCTTCAACAGTGGGCTGATCATGGGTTAACTATGGGTTAATTGTTAAACAAAATCAATTTCTAGTTAACTACTAATTGGGTTCTTTAAGACATGATTAATTATAGTGCCCTGGTTTGGAAGTCACAGAGCAACCTCTTTATCAGAATGATCAGAGCTTGCATATTGAAAGAGGCTTTGGTACTTAATGGGGCAGGTACTGCAGCAAATCATGGGTTAACCAATCCATGAATAATCAATGGACCCATGATTTGATGCCATTACATGCAAACTGTCATGGATTTAAATAATAATTTAAATCAGGAACAAAGAAGGTTAGTTTAAATCATTGGTTTAAATTAAGTTTCCCACTGTGTCATTTTTCACACATATCTTGAACAATGGTGCAAATCTGACCACAAAGCCATGTTAAATTACCAATTATATAGAATATTATTTATACTGTTAGACAGTATCAAGCAGGTTTTGCATCTGTCGCAGAAATAAGTTCCATTGAGTTCATGGGCATTTGAGTGTAGGACTGCAGCCTTCATCTGAGAAACAAAGATGCATATTGGACAGTTTTCTCTTCTCCTTTTCCCAGTGTGGTTCCTTTCTAATTCACCCTGGCTTGACCTTTACTCTTCCAAAAAACAAAGGAGGAATAAAAGAACAAGAAAAAAAAATCATGACTGATACATCAAAGCAAAGCTTGCTAGTTACTGGGCAGGAAAAAAATGCATTTTTAAAAAAAAAAAAATTTGCATTTAAGAAGAGCCCTGCTAGATCGGTCTAAGGGCACACTGAGTCCAGCGTTCTGTTCACACAGTGATGGACCAGCTGTCTCATGGAAGCCCATGCGTACTACACTATCCTCCCACCCAGTCGTTTAATTAGGATTTCCTTTTATCTGTCTTGAATCTTCCTCCGATCAACTTGACCCTGGATCCTTGTATTGTGAGAAAGGGAGAAAATGTTGCCTCCACTTCCTACATGATATTGTATGCCTCTATCATATCTCCTTTACCCCCTTTTAAGCTAAGCAGTCCCACATGTTGTGATCTTTCCTTGTAGAAAGGAAATTAATTTTTTCCATACATTTCCAACCCTACAATATTCTTTTTTTGGTGCAGCAACCAAAATTGTACACAGTATCCTAAATACTGGGCACCATAGATTTGTATAAGGGAAGTACAAGTTTGGTGGCCTTATTTTTAGTTCTGTTCTTTGATAGGCCCAACATAGATTTTGCCTGTTTCCCAGGTGCTGCACACCGTATTGGCATTTTTATTGAACTGCCCACTTTCCAGGATCTTTCTTGGTCAGTCACTGCTAGCTCAGATCAGCTTGCACTTGAAGTTCCAACAGGTTTCACTTTACATTTGCTCACATTGAATTGCAGTTGCCATTTTAATTCCCATTCTGCCAGTTTGGAGAGATTCTTTTGGAGCTCCTCACAATCCACTTTTGTTTTAACCACCCCAAATAATTTAGTGTGTCAGCAACCTTGGTCATTTCACTGTTTACTTCTAATTCCAGATAATTTATGAGTAAATTGGAAAGCCATTCCTGTGGGACCCCGCTGTTTACATCCTTTGACTGAGAGAATTTTCCTTTTATTTCTATTCTCGGCTTTCTTTTACTGATCCATAAGAGGACCCAAGGGGAAAAGGAAAGACCACTTCACACAGCCCATAATTAAACTATTAAACTATTCCAGTTGCTGGAGAACTTGAGTAGATGGATACTGCTGTACTTGTGTCATGCTTGCGGGCTTCCATGGGTCTTCTTGTTCCTTGCCTGCTAAGTTTGCTCAGGAATCTTTGGTGAGGGTCTTCATCAAAAGCCTTTTGAGCGTCCAAGTAAAGAAGGGCTACAAGATCATTCCTGTCCACATGTTTACTGACACTCTCAAAGAACTTTAAAAGGTTAGTGTGGTAGGACTTAGCATTGTAGAAGCCATGTTGACGCTTTTTCAATAGGGCTTGTCCTTCTGTATGCTTATTATGATTGATCCATAGGCTGCAACTGAGTGTAATGTTCTTAGCTTTTTAATTCCTGGCATAATTTGGACTGTCCCTTTCCCTAACAGAAATGCAGACTCAAAATTTTGGGGCTAGAAAACAGTTGATTTGTGGCAGAGCTGTCTTTGGGTTCTTGAGGTTCCTTAGGTGCAACACTCTCAGTGGGTCCTCTTCCTCAGTGAGGCGGCTTTCTCCCTACCATTGTCACCAGCTGCTGTTGGTCTCCATCCTCTTTTTCATCACTGCCACCAGTTGCTTGCTTGTCAGGCACCTGCTGCTTCTCCTTCTCAGCACCACCGCTGTGTGGGCTAGAGCAAGAAGCAGGTGAAAAAGCGGTTGCATTGATGAGCAGCTCCAGGGGCTTTTGCCAGTGCACCCTCTGGGGTTGTGGGCTACTGGCATGTTCCCAGCCATGAATTCCCTTGACAACAGCATTGATCCATGGCTTTCCTAGATCCTTACTCAGGCATTTTAAAAGTTTGAGCTTTAGAAATATTGTAGAGTATTCCATATTGTACTTCCTATTGCAGAGTCTCAGTTTCTGACAGACAGTGGTCTCTACTCTGTCCCTCTTGATTGTTCTCAGAGATTATGTGGAGAGGCATATTGTATGAACTGACAATTTCAGAGGTTGTGGCAGTTCTGAAAATTACTAGTGTGGTCACAGAAATCTGACTGTATCTGTTGAGTCCTACACATATTTTCCATTCCATTCATACATTGCTTCCCTTTACCTGAAGATGATTTGGTATGAAGCCATTTGTGTGATCTCGGCCTTGCTCTCTCAGAAAATAGGCATTCTTTCTGCAGTGAAAGAAATGTATTTCTGTATTTCTTTCTGCTGCACAGAGTGTTCTATTCTTATTTTACTAAACCTGCATGCAGTTTTATATTTACATTTAACATTTTCCTTGGATTTTGAACAGGCAGAAATACTCAGTGTGCTCAGCCACAGAAACATCATTCAGTTTTATGGAGCTGTTATTGAACCCCCCAACTATGGCATTGTTACAGGTAAGTTGCTCCTCCTCCTTTGGGTGGACGATGGGTAGAGTGGTGGTGACCATGGCATGTTTTACATGCCAAGTCTGATGTTTCTGAAATCAGCTGTATCTTAGTAAAGGTCCATGTACTGCCGCTTTATCTATCCAGCAGGTCTGAAAATCATACACTTAGCTCAGGGTAGCAAAAGACATTTTAATTCTGTTCTCGGTTGTACACTGCTGTTAACATCAGATTCTGCCCAAACATGGTTCCAGTTAGAGAGGTACTTCATGCTCTGCATCCTACAACAACTCTCCAACAGCAGGACAAAGCTGCCTGTCTTTAGAGTAGGCACTAGGTCTTAATGGTTTTTCTCACCTTCCAGTCTCTGAACAGCCATACTAACACAGTCTGAGAGTGAGTAGCACTTCTCCTGCATTTGGGCTGTCACACTTTTCCTAACGACATTACAGTCACGTTCCCTCAGTGATGGTAGCAAGCAGTTCTTCTAAACATTAGTGGTAAAAATGTTTTTATGTCATGCTTGCATATCAAGCATCAGATTTGCTTGAAGTTATCAAGCAATAATGCTATGTACAGTCCCTACCAGACATCATTCCCAGTTTGCATTTTGTAAATGTGCGCTGAAATAACCATGAAGTGGGAAGCTGCCATCTCTCCACTATTAATATTAGTATCTAGAGAAGGTTTAAACAGTTTAAAGCCAAATAAAAGCTACCCATGAGAAACAAACAGAAATTGTTCCTTTCAACTAGAACAATGATCTTTTCAGTTAAGCATAAATAAGTTTATATAATGTATCATGGAGTTTATCTTTAAGTGTTACTTATCTTGATTTACTTGAACTGTATAGACAAAGTTGCAAGCGCATTCTTGGTTGACAATGTATCGTGTCTAAAGCAGTGGTGTGTACAATACAAGGCTAATCAGTGGGTTCAGAAGAGTAAACCAATGGCAATGTAAAACTGCAAGAATGGGATTGGTAACAAGCAACAAAAGCTGAAATAGGGATTGATTATGATTGAGAGAGAGTCCTTGAAAATCTGTGTGTTTTAATGTAATTTGCCAGAATGTTAATGTGTGATTTACATAATGCCATGTGCAGTATTTTCTGTGAAAACAAAGTAGCACATCTTAGAAAGTTTCAGAGATGGTACTTAGTTTAAATTTTGTGGACATTAAGGTCCATCCTTGAAAACACATAGAGAACTGCATTACTTAAGTAATAAGTAATTATAGGTCCAGATAGTGGGTTGGATCCAAATTTAATTACAGTTAAGGAAGACTTACTGAAATCAATGTAACTTAAGTTATTCATAACTGATGATGTCCTGATGGGCTTACTGTAAGGATGACTAAATCTGGATCCAACCCATGTTGGCCTATTGTGGAATATGAATATCAGTAGGATATAAATCTTTATATAATTTGTGGGTTAAGAAATAAATTTCCATATATTAACATTTCTGAGTGCTCTTTTATTGGACCAGATTCTAGATGGTAAGATAGAAATTTTTCCATACGAGCTCTGTAATGTAATACTGCATCACTTGCATAATACTTGATTCCCTGCAGTCTGGGTTATATCAGCAAATGTGTTTATGAGCCACATACATGAAAAACAAGTGCAGAAACATGTAGGGAGAAGGGCTTTTACAGTCTTGCATAACATTTCATTTGGATGGAACAATTTCTTGACCAGCTGGGATAACCAAGAACCATAATTTTACCATAGTATCTCATCTTCATGAATTGGTCCATTAAATCATGGCATTTGAAAAAGGAATTCAACCGAGTTTCGTCTTATTTGCTGTTTTTGAGCATTACTGCCTTTAGTCCCCCCCTTCACTGTTTGTGTCTAGAAGCTAACTTTAGAGAAAGTAACTCAAGATTTTGGAGACTTCTTTTGAGAAGGACTGATGCTCCTGCTCAGGCTGGTGAATTCAGAGCACAGTTTAGGAGGTGCAGAATTTGACCTGAAGCAATGTGGTGCACCAGCATGAGAGCACGTGTGTGTATCTTAAGACGTTTATATCCCCTTGTCAAGACACGCAAAGGGGGGGGGGTGTTTGAACAGTATGATTATACTTCAGAAGAAGGTTAGCAATTAGAACTACTGAGTTCAGTCATGGCAGTGCCAGTATGTTCTGTACATTTATGTGCTCAGTTTGGAAGAGCAAAATAGTTTTTCTCAATAATATGCATCTTGCAACCAACAATAATTTATATGGCTACTGCTATATAATCATCATAGTGTCAAATAGATTGTTCTTTTTGTTGACCAGTTCTTCTGTCCATTAAGTAAGTATATGCATTTATTTTTAAAATACATTTTATACCATTCTTCAACAATAAAAATTTTCATGGTAGCCTGTTTCATATGCTTTTTGTTATTATTATTTTTATAATTTCATCTTAATTAAAATAATTTTATACAACTTGTACCAGTTAGTAATAGCATCCTTTGCTTTAAATTAATGCACTTGAACTCCACCTATTGCATGCTAATTGGACTACTTTGTTGCAGTATTCTAAGAAGTGTAAATCTACTTATGTGGAAAGCTAGGATTGCCAGTCATTGTTGCTATATGCCTGTCCATTAATGAGACTCCAGGCTTAATTCTGTGTAAGTTTAGGCAAAGGAAAAAAAAACCCCTACAACTCCATACTCTGGCCATGCCTGGGCCATGCTGGAAGCTGTATGTCCTTCCTACCTTCCTTTTTTCCATATTTACTTATTTTTTGCAAAAAGTTGCCTAGGAATGTGTTCTCAGTAGTTCTAAATTGTGTGGATTTTCTTAACAGAATATGCATCTGCTGGATCACTGTATGACTACATTAATAGCAACAGAAGTGAAGAAATGGATATGGATCATATTATGACTTGGGCAACTGATATAGCTAAAGGTAAGTGAGAGTCATTGATAGTGGTGTTTAGAACATGACAATATATAAAATATGTTAATCATGGGGTAAATAGTCTTCCTTCAGATCTCATATTTAGTCTACATTCAGAACAGCTTAATCCTTAGTCTGAATTGGTCATAACTTACGCTAGCAACTTGGTTACTTTTCCTGATTCTCTTAAAAACCTGCTATTGAATCTTGATTTATCAAATGGACTGTAGTGTAGTGTAGTGTAGTGGTTAAGAGTGTGGGACTGAGAGTCAGGTGATCTGGGTTCTAGTCCCTTTCAGCCATGGAGCCCACTGGGTGACCTAGGGTCAGTCACCGACTCTCAGCCCTACTCCACAGGATTGTTGATGTAATTGAGAGCAGCATCAGGAGAGTGATGTAAGCAGCTTTGAGCACATTGGGGGGAAAAGCAGGATATAAATCTTAAAAATAAATAAGATAATTTCAGGCAGCTTTTGAGAATGCCTACAGAAATTATTTGTCACTTGTGCTCACAGTAACAAAGTTTCCAGTTTTCTCTAAAAGCATAATCCTATTGCCTCTTAAGACAGAAGAAAGGCATATGACTCAAAGGATTCCCCCAGAGGCTGGTGACATGTCAGGCTGCCCCAGGAAGTGCAATGAGGGAAAACCTGCCAGCACATAACTAGCACATGCGGCAGTGTTAATCATGCCATGATTATGAGAAGTGATTCAACAAATGGAATTCACAGATGAGAATGTTGCAAAAACAACTTTGGCTACCTTGCATTTTTATAGGACTAGGGGTAGTCATCTAGTAGTTTGGACAGTAGATTGTGATTATATTTTTATTAGATCTAAAACTTACTAGATTAAGAAAAAGACTCAAGGTGATTTAAAACAAAATCAAAGTATACAAAATTAGAATAGCTAAAACAAATGTCCACGCCATGCTACCCCATACAACTGCCCCATAAAACTACAAGAAATCAGTGACAACCATTAAACTGTTTCATGAAATGGATGCATTAAAATAATAATGCTATGCCATCAGATGCCTGGGAATTCACAAAAGTCTTGACCTAGTGCTGGAAAGATTACTACCGTGTTTCCCCAAAAATAAGACTAGGTCTTATATTAATTTTTACTCCAAAAGACGTACAAGGGCTTATTTTCAGGTGATGTCTTATTTTTTCATGTACAACAATCTACATTTATTCATTTATCCATGTACAAAAATCTACATTTATCCATGTACAAAAATCTACATTTATTCAAATACAGTGATGTCATCTTCTGGAACATTGTCATAACTCTCCAAACCTCAAATTGTGTTGCAACGGACGTACTAAATGCGTCCGTCTGGCTGATGATCTTAACTGGGGCTTATTTTTGGGGTAGGGCTTATATTACGAGCATCCTAAAAAATCATGCTAGGGTTTATTTTCCAGTTAGGTCTTATTTTCGGGGAAACAGGGTATATTAGCTCCAAGCAGGCCTTGCTGGGGAAAGCATTACACAATCAGGGGGCTACCGCTGAAAAGGCCCTCTCCCTAGTTCCTATCCTCTGAACTTTTCTAAGGGGAGGGCCTCAGATGTGGAAAGTAGGGTATGGGTGGGTTCTTACTGGGGGTCTTATCTGTGCAGGACAGGGCCTAGGTGTGGGATTCTGGGTGTTTAATACTCTTGGGAATGTTTGGCATATTTGAACTGCTAGAGGCCTCTGCTTTGGAACTTACTGATTTATGTAGAGCTGAACTGGCTGCAATAGCAATGCAAGCAGTGGCATATAAAATTAGATTAAACATTGGTTAAGAATGATCTCTAGCAAATCCTTGTGCCTGCCTAGGATAACCTTTAAGGAAAGGAACAAACAGTTTGGAAGTGGCTTATTTCCTCTTACTCGTAGTGGTATAATTGGGGTTTTCTGAAGTATACATATAAATATAAGGAGATTGAGGGGAGAATTTGCTGGAAGATTTCTGAGGCAGCGACTGGCTAACATATCCTATTTCTAAAACTGTGCCATTGTGTAAGAAGTTTTGTTTTGTTCTGCCTTGCTTTTTAAAGGATTTGCAGAAGCTCAGAGACTGGATACCTGTTACTAAAGTTCAGCTAAATCTGAATAACTCAGTTGTGCTAGAAGGGAGTTAGACAAGCTAGAAGTAGGCTTTATATTGTGTGTACCAGCTCATGTGGTTTCAGACAGGTTGAAAGAGCTTGTACGTGCAAGTCTCCATTGTCTTGTATAATGCACTGAGAAAATAAAATCTGGAGTCAGAGATATTTGGCAATATAACTGCTTGTGGGCATGATAGGCAGCGGGGGAGACTGCCTGTTTTGTATCTACAGTACTTTATGCCATGGAAAAAAATCTTACGGGAGATCGTTATGCTTGGTCAGGACGATTCAGGGTGGTATCCAACTTTGCCCCCGCACTAGCACTGATGCTCTGTTAGTACAAACCAGTGCTTATGCAATGTATGCACCTGCCGAGCGATGAAGAAGAGCAGTGACTTGCAGCCAAATTTCTCCTCTGCACCAGGGTTGGCTACTGACTTCAGAATTGTAAGTTTGCAGTTGATTTCATGCAGGGTTGTGTACATTTTATGTATCAATACTGGTATTATAAGAGGGACAACCATGGAGACCTGGAATTTCATGTTTGTTCTATGGGATAGAGTTTGTGCTCATTTTATTTCAGTTAACATGTTAAAAAGGTAATGGTTCCCCCATGACGTTAAGTACAGTTGTGTCTGATTCTAGGGGGTGGTGCTGATCTTCATTTCTTAGCTGAGGAAACCAGCGTTTGTCCGCAGTAGTTTTATATAAACATGCCATAACTTTGTGACATAATCCTTTGTTACATTTTGCTTTGTGATGGTCTGGAAAGATAATCTTTCTCTTTCGATATTTTCCCATTTGGGCCATGACAAGTTCTGCCTGTGTTTTAGATATCTATAGATACCTCATTTCATTGGGAAATGAAAACAGCATCACTGTTTCCTTCTGCACTATTTGCAGAGATGCACATGTGGCCCTGTTTCCTCATTACCTTTTGTTGAAACTTGTATTGGGTAGCAGACATTTCACTAGAGTATATACACTTTTTCCCTCACTGTAATGGAGTTCTATTCTTGCCCCTTTTTAAAAAGTGGTACCTTCTTGTTTATCTAAATTGAAAGTACTTCTTTCTTATGTAAAGTGATTACCCTAGAAATTATCACCAAACCTTGATTTATCATTCCTGTGCAGTCCACAACACACAGGGGGTCCCCATTATCCTCTATAAGAAAACAATTAAGTGGGGCTCATAAAGGAAAGTAATTTCCTTTATGAGCTCTAGCATTTCGTGGTCAGGAGAAAGAAAAGCATCTTCCAAACATGGACACTGGACTTCATGCATGATATGGCATATAAGTGAGCCACCCCGAGGCTTCGGCGAATGGGGCGGCATAGAAATTTTCTAAACAAACAAACAAACAAGTCTGCTAAATAAATAAATACGCGTAAGTTCCATTGACATCAGTGAATAGCTCCCAGAGGTGTGCTGAGAGAGAGAGGAGAGATCCTCTGCTCATTCCTTTTCTGAACCAGCTATTCCTAGTACTGATAAGAAGTCATCTTGCTGCAACAATTTTTAAAACCTTTAATTTCCTTTTAGGAATGCACTATTTGCACATGGAGGCTCCAGTGAAAGTAATCCACAGGGATCTGAAGTCCCGAAACGGTAATACAGCATGAATGTGCATGTTTAGCTCTGTGCTATTTAATTGTTCTGCAAAAACTGGGTTTTAGTGTTATGACTGGAAATACAAGGGGGGAAAACAGTACAGTTAGAATGTGTTCCATGTGTTTCTGAAAACACTGAAAAAATGTTTTGTCCTGTTTGTCCCAAGGGAAGGTTACTGGGGTCTTTGAGATTTTCCCATCTGTAAAGTTACTCCAAAAAACATTTGGGTATTTGCTTCTGCATCATGGGAAACATCAGAATGAAATACCTCATGGAATTTGCATCATAGAATATCTGTGGCATCTATTGAACATAATGTTTTAAAGTAAATTAGTACGTATTACTTGCTAACATTATGATTTTCTATTAAAACAGATATATTGACACAGTTTAACATTGGCAAACTTGCAAGTTAAGTCTGACATTTAGATTAGATTCTGAAGATTATCATGCCTATCTTCTAGCAAGGGTGATCTTCATGCAGAAGCAGGTCTTTTTCCCAGATCAGCTTGCTAGATGCAAGGATTATACACGTGCAAAGATTAAACAATAAAAATAACACTTGTGTAGCTACCCCCTGCAACCATCCTATACCCACAACTGTGTCCCTTTTGAACAAGTCAGCATGTGCATACCAGTTGGTTGAAGGTGAATCAAGCCCTCCATTTGCTCCACCTCCAGAATACAATTGGTTTTGTCAAAGCTGATACCTTTCTAACTCATTAGTACTTGCAAGGAAGCACTCACCATTTTAAAAACATTTTCTCCAAAAGTCATCGCTTTTCAGGCTCAAAGAAAATAATCCAAATGGTGCTTGCTTATTTGTAAATCACAGTGAAATTTGTTTTCCTTATTAATTAAGGAAGACTTGGTAGATATATCCAGCTGAAGAAAGAATCATGAGAATTTTCTGCTTTAATTTTCATTAGTGGGCTACTAGTTGACATGGACCTTCTCCAGGCTTTGCTTAGAGACTTGTCAGTTTTGCTTTCTGTGCCAGTTCTTCTGCGTACCGTACATAAGGTAGAAAACCAGGATCATCTTTAGGTGCCATCTGGGTGTGCCTGTTCCTCTCCTTCATACCACCGGGAGCAACAAGAGGTTTGCGGGGCAATGCCTGTGCAGACCCAAATATTGCTCCTTTGACATGCCTGCCCCACTTGCAAAATCAGCTACACTGTAACACAGAAGGGCTCCAGCCATCTCAAACTGTTTTGCTTTGCACACGGGGGACACCCTTGTTAAGAAATGGACTTTGGTTCTTGTTAGTGAGCCAGATGAGAAGCCACTGAAACATGTTCAGCACCAAAGATCTGTAGTTTTTTGTCTCTTGATCTGCAGGTTGTTAGTGACTGCAGTTCAGGCTTCTCTGTAGCTGTTTGTCCTGATGGAATGTCCTTACGCCAGGTGTGATTAGTACAATGGGACACACCCAAAGTTGATGTGCAAAGAAAAAAAGGAAGTTAATCCTTAATTTCATGTAATTAATGTTTATGTTTATCATTTTAAAGACTGGCAGGAGCACCTCTTCCAGCTGTTGAGGGCACCAGGTTGTGGAAAGCTGCTATAAATGCGGAGCCTGTATTCAGTTAACATGACCAATACCTGTTAATAGACTAGATCTTTTCTAATCCATTTATCAATCTTTCTAACTTATTTATAAAACCTTTAAAATTTAATTAAGTACTGTGTAGCAATTTTTGTTTTCAGTCCTGTCTGTCTGTTTTGTTTTGTACCTAAGGTAAGCCAATTATATTGGATGACCCTCAATCCTAATATTATTCCCACAGCAGTGGCTTTCCCCTGGTGCTCTTTTCCTAACCTAAAATGTCCAAAATATTTTATTTTTTGTTCTGGGAAGATACAGCAGTTGACCTTATATAGAATATTTCTTGCCCTCTGATACCTTTTTGTAAATTCCAAATGTAATAATGCAGATGCATATGACAGCCTTATAATACCTTTATGATACAGTTTTATTTTTCAATAATTTCCCAGTAATTACTAACATTGAGTGTTTCCTTTTCCTCTGCTATACCTTTGAGTCAATATCTCCAGTAGACTGTCCACCATGATCCCAAGATATATTTTGGTAGACATAGACCAGCCTTTCCCTACCTAGTTCTTTCAAGAAGTTTGGGTTCCAACAATAGTTATCTTTTGGTTGTGTATGCTGGAATTGCAGTCCAAACATTTGGAGGGGACCAGGTCGGAGACAGTATGAGGCAGTATGGATTCTGATTGCCAAATAAACATGCCCATCATCAGGATGGGAAGATTTCTTTAAGGAAACTGAACAGTTTGTTTATAGTTATAATGGCATTTCCTTACTACTGTTTTTTTTTTTAATTTTCAGTGGTTATAGCTGGTGATGGAGTATTAAAGGTAGGCTGCTTCAGCCATATATAAAAGATATTAGGTATCTTTTTTTCTTCAAGTGTGTGAACAATTGTTTTACTGCTTGTTCGTTTGTTCATTTGTTTGTTGACTTCTTTGTCTAGATTTGTGACTTTGGTGCTTCAAGGTTCCACTCACATACAACACACATGTCTCTAGTTGGTACCTTTCCTTGGATGGCTCCAGAGGTTATCCAGAGTCTCCCCGTATCAGAAACATGTGACACATATTCATATGGTGTGGTGAGTAGCCTCTGTGAACCTCCAAACAATATTTAACAAGTCCATCTTAGATTAGCTAGATCCTAGTAGGCTGCTGCTATTAACTTACACATCAAAATTCTGCTCTTGTCTATCCAGATGTAAACTCCCAGGTAAGTACATATAAGGTGGCACCCATAATCTAGATCTAATCCAGTGTTTTTGGAGAAAAGTCCACCTCACTAAAGGGAAACAGTAAACATGCAAGAGCTGGTGTTTCAGCTTGGCTAATAACCATACTGCTTCGGCCCAGTAGACTGAGTCTGCAGGTTCCAATGACAGATACTGCAAATCTTTGAATATTTATTTTTAGCTGGTTATGGAAATGGTTTTCAAGTTAAACAGCGAAAAGAATTTGAAAAGTTATGAGCAAGTATGACCATTTAGAAAGCTTACTGTGTATTGGCCCTTATCTAAATGTTTATGGATGCATAATAACATGGATCAGTTTCTAAGACAGTTGTTTTAGTAAGCTGAAGTGCATTGGTTTTGATTTTCTTATCACAGGGTTCAGTCAAGCTTTTCTCCTCACATGTCTTCCATTTTTCCTAACACAAACCTTTAGGCCAACAATATGTTTTGAAGATACGAACTTGTCCATGAAAAACAGGACCATTTTTCTTTTAAAACAACCTTGTCCATAAATGCAAGTTTTGAACAGCCTAGTATCACAAACCAGAGCACTTACAAGTGGCTTTTGTACTAGACAGACATCTGCTTTTCATCAATTGAAGTGCAGCTGAAATTCTGATAACAAAGAGCAGAATCCTTTTCAAATGTAAACTACTAAGTTGTTGAAAAATGGCATTCTGTTGGCAGAATCCATGGCCTTTCTTTTATTTGTTTTTTCCCCGGGTTTTCCCTGCTAGAATGGGTCGTATTCATTGAACTATCATATTGTTTTTCTATTTTCTACTTTCGATGAAAAAGGAAGAAAGTATTTTCCCACCATAGCACAATGTAATGCTGTCAACCCAAAGGTCCAAGTTTTTCCTTGGTCGGTCCTGCCTCTTCTGAATTAGTCACAAGAAAATTAGGGAGGGTGGCATATATTGTTCGTGCTGTGCCCTTCTTTTTCATGGTTTATCTGTCTTTTTGAGATTTGGCAATAATTTAATGGGACACGTAAGGGTGTGCAACTCTCTCTCATTCTTACTTGGAGGAGAATCCCATTGAAAACAGTGGGACTTGCTTCTGTGTAAATGGGTACAATTACATTATACTCTAAGCTTCTTGGTGGTTTTTACAGATATGAGTGAAATATAAGAAGACAGGTTTGCGATCAGAGTCTTGGCCTTTTAGCACAGTTAGTAGACCTTAAATGCCAGGTTACATCATAGGTTTTTACCCAGCAATCCCTAATATATCAAAGATGTCAGTAATTCAAACAACTGATACAGTCTTTCAAAATATTACACATCATTCTTCTACATTAGGAGGAAAATAGTATGCATACTTTTACCTGATAGGTAAAAGAAGGATGATGATAACTCTTGAAATAGTTACAGCATATTCAATTGAAACATCAATTCAGTGGTATTCCTTTTACCAATGCATGCATAGATACACTTAATTGCATAATTAATTATTAATTGTAATAAAATTAAGTTTGGAAGTATAGACCTGGTGAAGAAGCATCATGACACTAACAGCATTGAATGTATGTTGCCTCGAGTATGAAAACTTACTGATACAGTGAGTGAAAGGTACATTCTGTCTAATCCAGATTACGGCTCTGCAAACCCTGCTTGCTTCTTTCCTAGCTAGAGTTGGTGGCTGTGATCTTATGAGATGTTAAGGTTTTCCCACAGTGTGAAGTATTGAGAGGTACTTGGGAAGCTCCACCAGCCGCAGTGTGTGGGAATACCTCTGAGGCTTTGGTTTTGGCCACTGATTGTAAGAAGCTTTTTTATTAAATTTCTGGAGAGATAACATTAAAAGTGGGAGGGTATCTACAGCAGGTTACAGTGGCTCACACTTTGGTATTTCCGGTTGGCTTCAACCAGCTTTATATGGGCAGCATCTATCAATGAGTTTGCCTTTTCCTACAGATTACCTTCAGAGTTCCAGTTAGAGGCCATTCTGTCTATCTGAACTGAACCTGAATGCTAACTCACAGGACATGCCTGTGAGCTCTTAGAGAAGGTAGTAATATTTGGAATACCTAACCGGGTGGTTCAATTCCACTGCCAAAAGGGAGCATTCTACATCCATAAACAAAGGATTTTGGCCTCCTAGGCTTGCTGGACTATTTTACCCTTTGGGGTACTGTGGGATCACCATCTCAGTGCAACTCACATGAGATTCCAGTATGCAATTAAGTGAATAAGTTGGAGCCATGCTAACTAAAACATGATGTTTATATGAACTGCTGGTTTGGTTAAAAGTAAAATATGGCTATTAAACAGTTAAACTGAAAAACAGCATTATGCCATTGGGATTTATACAGAAATATACTGCAAGACGGGGAGCCATTGTTCGGTAGGTCGTAACACTTCTCATGTGTTGAGCTAACTGTTTTCTTTGTAGAAGTGACTCTGGAAGTAACACATTTCTAAAATTGTAGATTAGCTTCTAAGCAATAGCTTTTATACAACAGAGACAGGGTTGCAGCAACATTTTCTAGTAAGATTGGAAGAGAAGAAATCCAGTAGTTGTAATGTCCCAACCATCGGATGTAAACAGCTAGGGAACATAGGAGGAGGACCATAACCTTGTCTGTTCCACGAAATCCAGCCCCACACCTCCCTGAGTAATTATTAAATCAGAGTTTGACATAAAATAATAGAGAGAAATATTCAAAATTAATTTAGTATGAGGGCCTTGCACACAAACATGTGTCCAGGTTCTTGCAAATGGGCTCTGGTTGCCTGCTAATTGGATACAGATAGTGCTGCTTTAAGGTTTAATAATGCATTTAAAATACAAAATACAGAAATAAAAATTCTTTTCTTTTTTCCTACTCTAGGTTCTCTGGGAGATGCTAACAAGGGAGGTCCCCTTTAAAGGCTTGGAAGGATTACAAGTAGCTTGGCTTGTCGTAGAAAAAAACGAGGTAAGACTACGTTTCTACATTCAGGTACATAGATCAGAAAACAGTATTGGGTTTTGCAAAAGACTATTTCATCTTCTTCAAATTGAAAGTAAGTTCACGCGTATGGAAAGATTAGCAGTAGGAGCTAACACAAAGGGTCAAAGTGATGTTATTCCTCATGAATGGACCCTTTACATCTAATTGTTGCAGCTTCACGTCGTGATGCTGTAGATCAAAAATTGTACAAGTACTGTACTAGTTTCTCAGTCTCAATTGTAAAACCTAGGGGTTTGTTCTTAGTGATGAAAGAAGCCATTGCGTCCAAGGTAGGGGAACAGTTTAACTCCATCTCCTGCGTTTAGGACATCTTTATACTGGCCGGGAGTTGATATATCTGTAAGAGACCTTCAGCTACTTCAACTTAACTCTCCCAGCAGGAGTCACTATAGTACAAGAAACTGCCACTTAGATGAGGATTTCAAAAATAAAAGAAGAAAAAATAGTTTAAAAAAAGAGGGAAATTACAGTTTTGCCACCTACGTTCCCCGCTACATTGAAGATGAGCTCCTCACTGGTACTGGTAAGGCTGTGCCGTAGTTGCAAGCTTCCTCCATGCCGTGTCTTTCCATTTCAAAAGAACTTCAGTGGCGTAAACACCCTTTGTACCGTGTCCCCAGCGTTGCTTTTCTTCTTTTTCCTACAAATTGAAGCTTTCAGGTAGTTGAACATGTCCGCGTGTATTTGAACACATGGCTCCTTGATATCAAAGGCGGGAAGTACATTAAAAAAATTTTTTTGTTAAGTTGCGGCTGTATTGCACACAGGGAAAGTATGGAAATCCTCCTCTATCTAGGGAGGCTAGAAGGTTGGGTACCATTATAAAAGTGACTTGGGTAATTTCTATGGTATGGCTTCTTTATTCCTTTTATAAAGCTGGCTTCCCAAAGTGTTTTAGAAACTTTTAAGTAATATAGTTATTACCAGAGAGGGAGTGCATTAACGTATAAATGTTATGGTCTCTTTTAAAATTTTGTTTGAATGTTAGGTTGGCTGAGCTGGCTGTAAGCCTATATGGAATACCCAACATAGTTGGGAATGTTTCCTTCATTCAAAATAAATGCATACCTGTAACTTCCTACCAAATAATTTTAAATTATTAGGGTGCAATAGGGATGAACTTAGTTTTTAAGCATAAGGAGGAGCTTTCTTGATCCAGTGCAAGATTTTTTTGCCACCCCCATGGAGACAAGGTGACACAAGAAACTCCTCTGTATGAATGAATTATCTGATTCCATGTTTGGATACAGGTTTTTGGTGTATAACATATAGTATGGTACTGTGATGACTGCTTAAATGGCTGCTCTACTTGGCAGCTAAAATTAAGCATGTTAAAAGGTGGATTCGTTCCATTGCTGCACACTATTCCTCTTGAAATAAATGAAACTCAGAAATGCTTGAATGCCTGGATTGCCACTCTGAAACTTGTGGAGAAGGAGAAATGGATTAACAAAGACCAAACTTTCTTGCCGTTGTAACTACAAATTAAGGGGTGGATCCAACCTATGTGGAAATCAATGGAACATGTTAATGATGATTATCATAAGTCCCATGGAATTCAAGGAGGCTAAAATATCACTAGCTTAGTCTGGATCCAGCGCTGTGTTTGTTGTGTTGAATGTACACTTACACCTAGTCTCAGGCCAAATTCTTGTCTCTTTCAAGTGAGAGCAGGTGTAATCCATAGGAAGATGAGAAGTTCACCTTTATGGTACAAGCAGAAGACTTTGTGTCTTGCAGTTCCTCAGAGATCTATAGGACAGCATACCTTTTATTCTAACTACTCTGTTAGATTAGAGATGGAGACCTTTCTACAGCATCACGTGAGATTCACAGCAAGTTATTTGAACTCAGACTTTCATACTCCATATCCGGTACTTAAGGCGTAAAAGGAGACATGTTGGGTCAGACCACAGGTCCATCTAATCCAGCATTTTGGTCAAACAGTGGTCAGCCAGCAGTCCCAGGAAACATGGAGGACACGAGTGCAACAACACTGTCTCAGTTGTCTTTTCCAGTACCTAGATATGCTGCCTCTGAGACTGGGAGCAGCATATAGGCTTCACTAAACCATACTGGTTCACAGAATTAGTAAAACATCAGTGAATGAGAGTATAGCCATTTATATGTCTACTCAGAAGCAAGTCCCACTGAGGTCAGTGGGATTTATCCCCAGGTTGATGCCACCAGGGTTGTAGCCTGAAAGGACTTTTTTACTTTTACCAGACTTCTCTTGGAGCTTGCAGGTTTTACACTCCAAAACATCCTAAGGATGAAAGTTCATATTAGATATGTCATTATCTAACATCAAATTACTACTAAGAAATGTCACTTTTATTAGCGTATGACACTCTTTACGACCTGCTACCTAGAAATTACCTGACAAATAACATTCTGCTCAAGTAAGACGAATGTAAGTGATGATTACATGTCTTTTAGTAACTCATTTTCCATCTCCTGGAACAGTGAGGGTTACAGACAAATGCCATTGCTAGACTATCAGGTGTATTTTTAGGCAAATGACTTGCCTGTGTATCAAGTGTCAGTGCCACTTTGTTTATGCCAATAGAGTTCTTGAATATACTTTTAGTAAAGATTTTTTAAAACAATTATAATACTACCTATTTTAATTATGGTGCACCTGATTGTGAATTTATTGTGTATATTTCTTTTTTCTTGCTTTCTTTTTTCAGCATTCTTTCCTGTGTAACAGTTTATATTGCATTCTTTTTCTGACATGCAATGGCTTACAAAATTTTGCAGGTCCCAGTAGTGTGATATAAATCCATTTTGCCTAGGTTACTTTGAATGCCTTTTTTAAAAGTTCAGTAAATGTTCAAAAAACTTGAGTACAAAATGTTGAGTGGACAGGAATTCAGATTTAATTGCATTCTCTCATTAGATCAGGCAGATTTATGGAATCTTAGATTATCTCAATCATGGCATTGCTCGAGAGAGCCTAGCCTTGATCCTGTTACAGTGCAACCCTAAACATGTGCTTTCAGAAGTGAACTCCATTAATTTCAGTGTTGACTGACTCTCATATAAGTATATATGGGATTGCAGCTTTAGAAATCTAAGGTGCAATCCTATGTATGTTTAGAGGGAAAAGTCCTAGAACTCCAAAAATTTGCCAGCCATAGATAGGATTGCATCCTTAATTGCAGCATGAAATGTTCATGAGTGTTTTTTATGTATTATATGTTGTCTAAAAGCACGAAGTGAGAAAATCTAGTCTTTTGTGCTTTATATACAAAATAGTTCCTATGCCTCATTTAGTTCTCTTGTCGCTAGGTTACTAATTGTTCATTTGTAGTTGTTTGTTAGTAGTAGATTTTTCAATAGTTTTCTTTTACATTTGAATTTGTTTTAGTATTACTTAGGGCACAGTCCTATGCTTGTTTAGGCAGAAAAGGTTCTGCAACTCACAGCATTTCTCTGCCAACGTATTAGCTAGTCAAAGCTGATAATATGTTTAGATGCTTCTTGTATGACTCGATATTTACACTTAAAAAGTGTAACATGAATAGTTATTTTTATATTTAGTCTTAGGTTCTTATGTATTGCAAGCCATGGTTCCTCCTTCAAACAAACACCAGTCACAGTCAACGTCCTTGCAAAACACTCTTTATTGCTTCTAAATGCAAGTCACTCAGATGAGTCTCTGAGCATGCACAAATGGTATGTTGAACCCAATCTAAAGATTGCCTCCTGAAGCTCTCCTTATGAACATGCGTGCACCCCAGCCCTTTGGAAGGCACCCCCTGAAAGCGAGCATGCCCGCATTCTGCTCGCTCCTGATCCAGTTGGCCCTCTTGCCTCTGCTGGTGCTTTGCCACTGGGTCCAGCTGAGAGGGGAGGGCTTGGTCCACATCTGGGAGTTCCTCATCCCCTGCAGCCCCTTGCACTGGCTGTGCACCTGAGCCATTCTCAGGAAAGGTCTGGTGTGGCAAAGCAGCTAGCCTTTAGATACTCTGCCTCTCGTCTTCCTCCCCATGTTGCATCCTAGGACCTTGAGCCAACCCAAGCGCCCCAGCCTCGCTGAGACATTTTTCAGCATCTGTGACACGGCTGGTCTCCTGTGGGAATGCCTGCCATCTTCCTAGCTCCCAGCATTACGCCATGCTATGTATAACTCCAAGTCCCTGTACAGTTTTCCTCTGGAGCAGCAGGAATGACTTGATCTTTCCATTTGCTGTGTTATCACCTGCCCCTCATCCACCATCAGTAGATCTGTGACATTACAAATATTCTAGTTATTAGAAAACTGGAACAAAGCCTTAACTAGCATAGACAATGGTGAAGGATAATGGGAGTTGGACTCCCATGGGACAATGGGAGTCCAAACAACATTTGGAAGGACTATATGTTTCTCATCTCTTTTTTAGTCCATTACAAGTCATTGCAAAGGGACATTTACCTAGACCAGTTCACAAGTAGCTTCAGGAATTTAAGCATATTTTAACACTTAAAATAAATTGTAAACAGATATGGGGTAAGAACATACCTTGCTCATAAATAGGAACAGGCAACA